ATGTACAGAAACTACCGATTGGAGAAAGAGGTTCCACGGGTGACACGCGAACTGGAAAAATCTGCGGTACTCTAGACGTTTGGACAATTCTGCTAGTTTCAAAGAATGACTTTGAACTCGAGTTTGAGGATACCTGGGACGTAGGACAGAATCTCTGGCACACCATGTGTAATGATTGGGTTTGGGCGATCCTGCTTGCTCTATCCTTTTGCGGTGTTTCTATTCGATTGTGGCGCACTCCCATGGACACCATGATCCGTGTTTTAGTGCAGTTGTAGAAGGTACAATTTTTTCCAAATCAGTGGTAGATTCCTATGTCAATCAACTACCTTTCGGTCCTTTACAGTGTGCAGAGTTTGGGTGATGACTATGTTTGTGCGCTCGGCTTTGGCGTTCATCAAAATGCAAAACGAGTTCCACTGGTCTTCGTCGTCAGACAACATACCCACAATGTGATGGCGGTAGATTCGGGACGTTTGGACACACAACTGTTAGGGCATTATTGTTGCATCCTTTTTCTCGTTGAGTTACACGGTCGGGTGATCATTCATCCTGGTTTTATACTTAGCGGTACTTGTCGATCTTTTAGCTCGATTCCCGTTTGTGGCGTTTTGCAACATAGACCGTAAAGACGGAGTCTCGGCTTATGACTTGCAAGACTTAAGGTTGGCCAGTGCCATTGGAGATGCAGCCGCAGAGTGTTGGTGTTAGGGTGCCACATCCATTCCGTAATAAGGGAATTGAATTGATCAACATTTTCGGGTGTTGTCTGATTTCCGTCTGAAGTTCTGCTAAACTTGGAGCAGACAACGGAGGTGGAGACCTTACTGATTGTGGTCCAGGAGAAGTGCATTGTCCATCATTCCTTTGTTTAGAGTCTACTACACTCTCCTGACGCATTCTGGCATCCAATAAAATAATATTAGCATGCATCCTCCTTTCAGATTCCACATTCTCCTCCCTAGATCGAATCATCCCCATGCTGTTTCATACCTGGTGATTTCGTCCCCATAGTGCATCGTATCACTATTTCTTAAACATTTGCACCCGGTTAGTTAATGTCACACACCTTATTTCACACAAAACTATGAAGTAGGTGCGTTGTACATCGTGGACCTTCAAGTGCGCTTTTGATAATGAGCTAGTGGGTCCACAAGGGAGCAGCTGAGAATGAATTACTACGGGGCCAGCGTATGAGATTACCGGTGAATTACGAACTATAGCCTGATACCTACCTGTATTTGCGTATGAGTCCACAGATGTGAAATAAACCTACAGTAATATGGCCGAAAAAGCGCCACAACATGACAATGAAGGATTACTTGGTGTACTACGAACGTATGTATATTCGAGGGAGAGGTAACTATATCCTCCTACGACATTGAACAAGCGAGAATTTGCCAGCAAATGAATAACACACACAGACATTTGTGTAGGCTGGCACCTTGGCCTGCAGGCTATTCTACAAGTTGGTTACCGAACTTTGTGTCTTTTCTTAGCTGACACCATGAAATACATTTCGCGACCACTCAATGGTCTTAGTCAATCTATGGTTGCCGGTGCTGTAATCGCGTCCGTTGGAGCCACCCTACAATAATTAGAAGATAGACTTCGATGATCTCAACTGATCCGCCAGTGTAGTGGACTTGTCGCTACCGAAGGATTCATGTGTGTGCAATCGTGCGCTCGTTTCATACCCCTTAATATAGGAAAGCTCGCTGGTGATGCCGAATTAGTTCGACAAAGTATATGGCCAGTTAGCTCGACGACGACGCGTATTCTGGAATAAATTCGTGTCTGGCTCTATTGATGATTATTAGGCCTAAAAGAGGCAGCGGGATCTACGTAACAGCGCAAAAGCACGAACGTTTTGAGAGTTCGAAGTAGACCTCCTAACCTTGGCGAAGTCTGCCCCCAAGAATATTTTTGCTTACGTGAAGTGACGACTGAGGCTCGCAGGTGGTCTAGCAGTGTCAGAAGTCTCGGATGGATTGGCTCTGGTTTCCAGCGCTGAAGATGCGTCCGCATTAGCGGCGCACTTCGCCTCTGTATGTACAGGTGGACATGCGCGTATGCCGAACTCGTGTGAAGCTCCTACGGAACTCCAGTGCCTCGATTGCAATGTGGAAGATGTCCGCAGTCTGCTCGCCAGTCTTGACGACACGAAACCTGCCAGACCCGATGGCCTCCGTTCGTTAATACCAAAATCCCTACCGGCCATCATCTCGCCTGCTATGACGGATCTGTTCAACAGATCGTTATCTGTAGGTATATTGCCATGCGACTGGAAATGCACGGTAATGAAGCCGATCCACAGGGGCGGTGACTAGACTAAGATGGACATTTATCGAGCGGTTAGTCTGTCTTCTGTTTTGGCGAAAGTGCTCGAGAAGTTTGTGAAGAGGGTCTTCTCCAGCTACTAGAGTCGAAACACCTCCTAGCGCCCGCGCAGCACGTTTTGAGGATGGGTCGCCCCTCCATCACCAACTTGCAGTTGACGCGGCACGGATGCTTGCAGGCGTTGAACAGGGGGAAATCAGTAGATGTTATCTTGGTTGTTTTCAGTAAGGCTTTCAATAACGTGAACCATGAGATCATCCTCCAAAACTTGAGGATGTGTGGTGTTAGTTACACACTACACCAGTGGATCAGTGACTTCCTCGTTTGGAGAAAGTGGCGGGTACAGGTGAATAACCACTTGACGGAATGTTACCCGTACAATAGTGACGTACCCCAAGGCACAGTAATGGGGCCCATATTGTTCCTGATCGACATCAACGAATTACCTCAGATTCCTCAGTCGCCCTGCGCATTGTTTGCAGCCGACTTGAAAATTTAGAGTGGTATTGATTCAACAGTTGTGACATCCTTCAGTAGTTCCTCGACTGCCTGTCCCTGCGGTCTGCAGAAGTTGATCTGCCAGTCAACTCGATCAAGTTGTCATTTATGAGTCTGGGGAAGGATGGTGCTGGGCGTATTTACTCTATAGCCGGCCACCCGCTGCATCTCACAAGCTCCGTAAACAATCTAGGTTTACTCTCACCCTAAGACCTGAAATCCGTCGACAACACGAGCAGACTGTACGGAAACGGACTACTTTTCTTTTGCGCACTTAAACGCAGCTTCTGCACTTGGTCTGAAGAGATTGCCACTCCTTGTTCTCTTCCATGATAAGCCAGCTGCTTGAGTGCGGCTCATCCCAGTTTACGAATATGGCGTACGAGGACCGAGATAGGAGACTACGGCTGTATACCTCGCCATATCGTGGAATATTGAACCTGCGCCACTTCCCCATGCTGAGGCCACTGCTGCACGTTCGCGCACCTAGCAGCACATGCGGACACCGTTACAAACGGGTGATAACAGATTTAAAACTTATCGCTCATCCTCTATACTTCGGCCGTCCAGTGTTGAAATATTGAAATAAGTTGCCGGAGACAATAGTCGAGACGAAATCGGTGTCGGAATTAGAGATCCCTTGACGCCCACTTTGCGGACTAAAGTTACAGGGAGCGTGTCGCACCCGAATAAGGTGTAGTGCAGCTGCAATATGCTACCGCCGCGCAAGAATCAGCGACATGACTCCGCGCATGTGCCCGATCCACCTACGATGCAACAGCACAGCTTTGTGTTTTCTCACTCGTAAATTTCAGTATTCAGTCTGCCACATTTTACAATGTATAGCCAATAGCCATAAAACTCCCAAGAGGCACAAGCACCACTGCAACGACCAATGTGTCGGACAGCTATGGTCCAGCAAACCGCATCACCTATATAAAGGCTATAGCCCACGTCTACCATTCACAAAAGTACTTATTTCTAAATTGTCTCTAGTCTTGTAAATTTAGTCATACAACTCTCCTGTTTATAAAGCTGTTATGTTTCACTGCAGTTTTGCGAAACCAGTGATGAAATTAAGGGGGTTGATATAAAACGGCGCTGATTCATAATTTAAAAAAGATGGGTACAAATTATCTGGGAAGATATCATTATTAAAAAGACCTATCTCATAATTAATTGCATACAACGACCAGGTGGATGAATCCACCTGTGGATGAAACGGCAGCGGGGAATCGACCGAGGATGAAACGACCGACTACCCCTATATTTCGCTTACACTTCTCAATATACCACTTGTTTGTTTACTAATCGTTAGCACTCCTCTACCCGTTGGGTTCTTTACTTAACCGACATTCAAGACTCCAAAGCCATAAGCTGCTCATATGACTTGTCGGAGTGGTAGACACCAGCTTTTGTTGCAACCTTGGGGGAATGTTATGATGATGAAAGCGGCGTCAAATTTGATGTTGTAGAGAATATTTGTAAGATCGATGAGAATTTGCGTTGCTCACTGACGCCGAATGTTTTGTTGATACAAGGCGATCAGATCAGTAGCATCAAGTAGATCCATTAGTGTGAGAACCGGAGTATTGACGTAAAGATGTGTGTTTTACATTCTCAGCAATGAGTGGAAGTTCACGTGCTATTGTTGATACCCTACCCGTTATCCACCACAACTAAGCATAAAGTATCCAGTTTCCGAGCAGACTTTATAAAAAAAGCCTGTCTGCGCATCTAGTTCATTCCAGCCTGAACACTGTGTTTGATGTATGCAGAAGGTAAATTGTTGACAGTAGTGTCCTGCCTAAAGGAGGAACTCGAAACCACCTTGTCCTTTAGATCCAGTGAATTTCGTGTCAATTGCTCATGAGTAAGTGCACTTGACGAAATGGTGCAGGGTGAAGTCTGTTTAACACATTATATTCGCTTTTGTTTAACTGCAACTTTTCCAAGATTCCTATGTGGACATAATCGCCTGCTTACTTTCTGTTATCTGCGTTGTAAAGGAAGTGAAATTGAGCTCAGAACTCTCTGAGCTCATTAACTGGTCATTTCTCCAGGGAAAAGAAGAACAATGTATTTGGCGTATGAGTATCATCTTTCATCACGCTGACAAAATATTAGAAACCAAAGGAAAAAGGAGTTCGGAATATGATATATCATGAGACTGCCTTCAGAGAGTTATCTTCATCCGTGGACAACCAAATGGCGTCCATTTCGTTTCTATTCAGGTCTTCATAGGTAGACGGGTCATACGGGTCGGCACCCAATTCTCTTGTCTTCACGTAAAGATCTCCCTTGATTCGAACGCAAATCATGTTGACTGCCACCAGGAAGATTAACAGGATCAGCCACTTGGGAGGAAATTGGAAACATTAATGTGGTGTGATAATCACTTCTGTAAATTCTACGTTTCAGTGAAATGCCAATTCTCATAGGAAAAATTTCGTCAATTTTAAGGTTTTATTTAGCTTCATTGATACATAATGAAAAACTGCAGTACCCTGCTCGGAGTAATTTTCATTAACTTGTACTGTTTACTCAGTCAAATAGGAGGTCGATTTTGTTCATCTGGATGCCATGTGATGTCACTGCGATACGCATTCCCAGACAGCTAGGTTGTATCAAAACCACGTGTCGGAGGCTACTTGAAGCAAGATGAGACAACCCCTGAATGTTCTCAGAGTGCCTCAAGTTAACCAAACCCTCCAGACTAACTGGGCGGTCATTCGTGTTGTATTCTACATATGGCTCTGTCTGAGATCATGTTTAACTGGGAGGAATTCTATCATCGTTTCACGCGAAATTCCAAACTGGTGAAGATGTGACAATGCTGTGACCGTTCTGTTTTGTCCAAACTATCCGTTCTCCTTAATGTCTAATTCGCTTATCTGCATAATTCAATAGCCACATCGTTGCTCCAACCAAACCCGCTGTCGATATGCATTTTTGCGGGAACACTTCACTTTGTAATGCTTAACAGAAAACGAGTGTTCCTACCTTGCTCGTTTTTATGGTATTCTGACCGTCTAGGCTTCGTTCCACAATGTTTGTGTCGTTTCGAAAGATTCGGTACGTTAATAACTAGTTATTCTAATTTATTGCAAGTTTATTCACAACCCGCTTTAAGCCACAGCTGCCCGTACGCAGTTCCAACCTGATTCCTAAAGGTGGCAAAACTGGTGTTGCCTGTTACCAAGCAACGGAAGCCGAACATAGTGTTAATATTCATGGTTATTTCAAGCTTTATGTTCAAAATAACACATTACTGAAACACGTGAAATATCAGCTCCGAAAGCTGGAGGTGAATATTTTGGATGTGTATTGACATCTGAGAGACTCATAGTCGACCCCAGGAAAATTCCGACCGTAAACGAAGTGCAACTCACTAACGATTTAGCAGCAATCATTCCCGTCAACTGTATGTTGTGTCATTTCCCTCGCCTCTAACCAAGAAGTGCCGATGTCATAACTTTGATAGTGCGTCTATACCAGTTCCGAGACACTTTAATCCATAGGGCATTCAACTTCAGCCGTAAGGATTGCGACTTTATCTAATAGTCTTACAGGTTCTCCCGTCCATGTGTTGGTGGTTGCTTTTGCCTTCGCTGTCGCCTAGCTATCTCATTCGTTATGCACTGTCGGCCCAGAAGAGGTCGGGTTTAGATATAGAGGGAAATCTGATCACGGAGGGGGCGAAGGGTTGCCGATCGCAAATGCTCGAGATCAAGTCGTCTCTAGGATGGCAGAACGCGGATAAGAGTAGTGAAGCGTTAGGTCAGGAGATGCGTAGTAGGATGAAGTTGAGACGGTATAGGACAAGGGGTTTGAGCATGCTTACGTTATCCCTTTAACAAATCCTGTTGGCGCAAAGAGCTGATATTTGTTTCGCATTCCACTACAGCTTGTAGCCCGTTTCATTGCACCTAAAGTCACCAGGTGCTTACAGTGACGTAGCAACTACTCTTGCCGCTCGGGGCGGACTTAATATCACCGCCCCCCTCTGTCGATTTTAAATCCGTAAACCCCCATAATTTCGGACAGTTCTTAAATACTTTGTTTCATCTGACAACAAGCAAAGATCCAGTTATACAGTGCTGCCGTAAATTTAGGAATTTTTATTGGTATAATACTCGTGAACAAGATTTACAGGTGCACTTTTTGCGCATTACTTGAGGCAGTAGCATTGATAACGCTCTCTAATGTCAAGTTCGCTGTCTATGTTGTGAACTGCGACTCCGTGAGCCTTGTATGTCTCAATAACGATTGAAGGTAGTTCGTTATGAGCTTACATTTAGAGAATGCGCTCTCATAGCTGGCTATGATAATAGTTCCGGTAAAAATGCTTAGCAGATTCCCCAAGTGATATTTCGGTATGAGACTAAAACGCTCAGAAGGTTCATTAATTTTGTCCTTTAATGAAGCTTTCACAAATACCACAATTATCCTCCCTCGTCAAAAATTCCGTTTTTCTATATCTTCGTTGAATTTACTAAGCGGACAACCATACTTATTGTCAAGCAGATGTAACGGTGTAGGAAAAGCATATTTGTTCGCAAGGTCATGCCTTTTCTGAAATCTAAGTCGTTTTATTAATCAAAATGTCTATAAGAGACAGCATTTCCCGTTTCAAATCTACATCAAATCCCATTGATACAAGCAACAATTATTCACTATCCATTCGTTTCTTTTGGCCGATTCGATGCTTCATGCTTACCTCCAAATTAGCATAGCCTTTTGGATCCGTCCGTTGCAATGAGTACCATGTGCCCACTATTCTAAAGAAGGAAACTCTTAACGCTGTAGGATTGCCACAATTTTGCAGATCCAGCCCATTTCTTTAAACATACCTGTGCATCCTTGAATTTTATGTGAGCAGATCCCCAAAATGCTAAGATACAAAATAACCGGAAACGACTGCACTGAGGTGAGAATTAAAGATGCTGCTGATCTTGTGATTGCATGCTCTTCTTATTCTATGAAATGTGTCAGTGAATTGACGAGTTCCGAGTATTTCTTCAACACAATCGTTACAGCACCTTCTCGACTATTCCATCTATATTTTACAGTCATCTGCTACTTACACCGTTGACTTGAACCAAGGTATTCAAGTAACATTTAGATGAACAAAGAATGATAATAGCCGGTCCATCGTGTGAACTTATTGTGATCAAGCCTGTGAAACTATGTTCGCATGATCAGTTCGCGAATGACTCCCTCTTCAATTGTTCAGCATACATATACAGCAACGGGGGAAACACCACAAAGCTATAAACTCTTCAAACCCAACGAGTTATCACCCACTGTGTTAGCAGCTCTCTATCTCTCACATAGTCGGTTCACGTCACAGGAACAGAGGCACGTACTTTCTTATAAGTTGCACATTACTTGCCAGCCGAGCGGGGCATGTGTTGCACCACTAACCCACCTGGCTATGAGGTAAGAAAAAGGCCAATTCCATTTACAAACGAATATTTTATACAAAAGGAAAAAGCTTACAAATCTGCCATGTGATTACACGGCCGTAGTTAGCCGTCACATGCTACACCATTTTCTCGCGAGGATGCCGTGCGACACAAGCACTTGCCTGCGACCCTACCTGCTCCAAAAAAATGAACGCGTCACTCGGTTTTGCAGATTGCAACATCAGGGTCCCCTGGGATCATTTCCCTATACCTGCTCCTTATCGTTTGTTTCACATAACTTTTGCTTACACTCCAGATTTCCTCGATAGGGTTCAGTGCCGGAGAGTAAAGTGCTAATCGTAATATCCTCCCGGATAGGTAGCGTCCTTCTTGGAAAACGGTTTCCAAGTCTGCATGGAAGGGGGCTTTGTCACGAATCAACACACACCGTCCGATAAACTTGGAACCATTGTCATCAAGCACCTTTCACAGCCACTGTGCGCACTTTTGCTTGTGGAAACTACCACGTAACACGGAAAAAGCAATCAACCCGTTGTTTGTCATGGCTCCGACCACGTGCACATTTTGGCCACGATTGTTTGCCACAGTACACTTTGCGCGGCTCCCGCGTGGTGAACGGCCCCAGGTGCGTGCGCAGAAGAGATTGAAATTAAACTCGTCAATCCACACCGGTTGCTCTCGTTCTGTCTGGTGCTTCAGCAGCTACATGACAAACCGTTTCCGTCTACTTTTATTTTCCAGTATGTTCATTGACTCTGCAACGGTGTGCAACTTCTTCATTGTTGAATGGAAAAAAACCCATTGATTGATCAGAAGTCTGTGTAAGCGAACATATGTTTTCGGTAATTCTTCATCAGGCTTGTACAATTACATGAAATGCAAACCTTTAGTATACAGACCCAACGGGTCGTCAGTCAACCAAATTGATCTTAGTGCGCTGTGACACACCTTCGGTTAGGTTACAGTTGTACTCGTACGTGCGTACAGGTCAACTGCAGTCCGTCCTGGCCAAGGTAAGCGCAACGCGTGAGTGAACCGTTTCTGCGTGCACAGTGCTGGTTCGTACAGCCGAATGGCGATGGCTTCTGCGGCGTTTAATATCCGCTTACGGAAACATATTGATCGATTTTCTGGGGCCTGATAGATTACTTTGAACGAGTCAGCCAACTTGGTGGCGTGACTCGTATCCGCAAGATGCGTGGCGATGGCAGAGTTGGTGACCTTTCGGCCTCCATTTCCGAGCCAGGCCGGATGGTGTTCCTTCACCCTTTCGGATAAGCGTCTTGTTGTACGACTAACGTATCCTGCCCCACAGGAACAGGTAAACGAGTATACACCCATTGATTTGGTGTGGACAGGCAGCTTATCCTTGAGGTTTAGTCTCACCATTGGGCTGCTGGTGAACCGGATTTGCAACCTCGCCGCTGGGAAGGTATTCCTGAGTGTGGACGTGAGACGGCGGGATAGATTTTCGGATACTATTTCCCCTTTGTAAGGCAGCTGCAGGAAGATAGGTTTCCGTTCCGCCGTCAGGACCATAGGTGCTTCCCTGTTTCGCCCCATATTCGCATTAATAAAATTCTCTGGGTAGCCATTCTCTTTTAGTGTCGCTCGTATTAGTTGGCTCTGTATACTAAAAGTTTGCATTTCATGTAATTGTACAAGCCTGATGAAGAATTACCGAAAACATATGTTCGCTTACACAGACTTCTGATCAATCAATCGGTTTTTTCCAAAACATGTCTGTTGGCCTGCCGCTGGAGTGTTTGAGGGATATGATTCTATTGTGCATGGAAAATATACGGTTCTAGTTTGAGGGAACTGCTTATAAACAGATCGACGGCGTCGCCATGGGTAGCCCTCTGGGACCAGTACTAGCAGACATTTTATCTCGGTTTGATAGAAAGACAAGTTACTGCCAGCATTTG